TCAGCCAGCTCTGGCCTAAGCACAGCCCGTGAGCTAATGTGAATTCCTTGGCTCAAAGCAAATACCTGAAATCTTTGGAAACCACAGGAATCAGCACAGAAATGGTGAATATCCCAGAGGAGCCAGGGTCAGTTAGGAAGCGAGGCTGCTGAAGGAAGGGTGTGACAAGGCTGAGTGGTGTGAGCTCAGGTGGCAGTATGGCAGCTAGAGGCAGTGCTGAGAAGCCCAGCAGTCTAACCCCAGAGCAAATCCTTGTGTCCCACTGCAAAGTCTCCCCAAGCTGCTGCTTCTTGGACCTTTTGCACGAATGTTTGGGTTTCAGCTCAGTTTTGCTTCTTCTTTTTCTCAAATCTATTTTTCAAATTCAAGGTAAATCTGAATGACAAGTTCCTGACCTTTCCAGCTATTCAAGCTAAGAAATAGGGTTGTCTACTAAATGTGGTTTAGGACACAAAGTACTCTATGGAGAAGTCTCTCCAAAAGAAGGAGCCATTTCACTATGAATTCCCCACACTATGTGTCAAGCACTCATCACGCCTGTAGGCACCAAGCAAGAGAGGTCCACCAGGCTCCTTTCTGTCCCACACAGAAGGAAGCGTAGTTAGACAGGAGAGAGAACTAGCAAAACAGGGAAGGCTCACAAACAGTACAAGCTATTCCTGGCTCTATGTTCTCTTCAGCTGTATTTCAGGCACAAGTCAGGCTTGTTATTCTCTACTTACATGAATGCCCCTACAAAAACCAGCATAATCCACCAATTCAGCAGTTGGCTCTAAATGAAGCCTTGGGACTCCCACATAACTGCACTTGCTGAGTCACCTTGAAAAGCGTGTCAAAGTTTATAATTAAGACTGTAGTTTATCAACAATGTACCTCTTATTCAAACTAAGATATAAAAGATATGTCAATAAATACATTACATTGCCTGTTTTGGAAATCTCAGATAAATAAAACTACCAAGATTTTAATGTATGATCAGATGACAGAGTTATACTCTCTGGCAATCCTGGACCAGGCTTGCCATGATCACCTCATTTTCCAAAACTATACCTTCACTGCAAAGGTCCCAGCTACAGTTCTCCAGGCTGTGATCACAGAAAACCAGCCTAGATTATAATTGTCCTTTCCAGTACAAAGTTACTAAATATCTGCCAATTTAACAGATGTATGGCAGCACATTGTGTCTACTTATTTTTTTGTACTATGTACTAGAAAAGTGTTCAAACACTCTTCAATCCAACAGGAGGATCTTAAGTCACTCAGTGCTGCTTTATGCCTAATGCACAGTTTCAGTCTTGTTTCAAGCCCCAAGAAAGAGAAAAAAATCCCCACCCCACTCACTCCAAACAGATCACTGAATATATCCAAATTAATCTATTAGTAGCGTTCTTTCTAGAGGTCCATCAGGCACAAAATATGCAAGGAGTTTTGACAGAGTTCGAGGGAGGCACAACTAGAAAAGTTGCATTGTAAGAAAAGATAAAAACAGAGCACTTTCACTGATACCACTCTTAATAACTCTCCAGAAGTCTTAGAGTTGACTCTGCTCACTTGAGGCTCTGTCCCCTTATACAGCTTATTCCACAGGGAGTGGGATGGAAATAGCTAGAAAAGGAACCTACTCATCAGTGCTTCCTAAGTTCTACTTGGTATTCTTTTAGAGAAGAGACAGGAAAAAAAAACCCCAAAACAAACAAAAAACTCCCAAAAATCAAAACAAAACCAAAAACCCACAATAAAAAAAAAAATCCCAGAAAACCACAGAAAAAAAACCCCAACACAAACATTTTGAAATTATTCTCTTCCTGAAAAACTACACTAAAAAAAAAATAATAAAAAAGAGAGAGAGAACTTTGGCTGGGGCAAACCAAACAGTTATTTAGTATTTCCAGCACAACAGTTGAAGACTTTGTTACACACATCTGGGTACAAACCCTTCCGTTCTCCTTCAGATGAAACTTGGAAAGTGAAATGGAAGGTACAAAAATGTTGGATTCACAACCTCTTACTTCTCCTCAGCTCTGAAGCCTCAAATTCCACTCTAGATCGTGTCATGACAAGCCTAACTGTGCCAGAAGAAGCAAGGCCTAAGGAAATATCTAGTCAAACATCACAAATGTTTTTTATACCAAGTCTGTTCCTTGTAAAGATCATTACATTTTACGGTTTCCTCATAGCACTCCTTTACTGGTAGAGGCCACCAAGTTTACTGAAACAGTCAGGTTCCTCTTGGAATATGCAAAGCATAACACAGAGAGGAACATGACCTTTCAGACAGACTAAGAAAAGGGAAAAAAAATTAAAACACCAAGCTAGGTCATCCTTACTACACTTCAGAGACTATCTGCCTTTTAGAAAGCAAATTCAAATCATGGAAGTCACCACAGTGCACCACAGCACTAGCTGAGGTTCCAAAACCAGATTGCTTTGTTCTGATAGTATTTTTCACCCTAGATTACTTCTATACCACCTTTGATTCCAGGCCCTGACATTACCACCCTGTTTTCTGCTAGAAATTGTTTCTACCCTTAAGCAGCATGGGATTTTCTTCCTTAAGCAAAGCATTAAAAACAACTTCTACTCCCCAAGGTTAAAATATTTCTCTCCCCGTGAAGAGTGAAACTTTTGTCCCAGCTTTAAACCAAAGCATTACACCATGTGAGGCAACACAGTGCTCTCTCCCAGCACATAACTCACACTGTAAAATGAATGGCAAAACAGCTAAATAGGAAGCCATCATCCAGTAATTCTAGGTTCTTTACCTCTCACCAAATGAATCTGCAAATGCAGGGTATGGAGAGAAAGCAAATTGCTACAACTGAAGACCACTAGTGCCATCTGGAGGCCACACAGAACAGCCCACCTGAAGTTCTATCAGCCTCTGCTCACCTTGAGCGTTGTCCTCCAGAGAGCCTGCCAGCACTTGCAGCATGAACATACCAGCTGTACAGCCACCACAGATGGGAAAAGCTTAAGTATAATTAAAGATATGTCTGCAAGAAACTTAGAGCTATCATGTGAAAGCATTCAACTACAAATCTTTAGCTACAGCTGACACTTCAGCTGAAACTACTCAGTGGGCAGTTGAAGTTTAGTAACAGAACCAGAGCTACTCTCCAGACCCCAGAGTTATCTCTCTTGGAAGAGAGGTAACAGCTCATTATTTTCATTTCCTCTACACCTCTTCCATAGTTGTACTGGTAGAGTGGACCATACTGCAAAGCAGCACTGAGATACTTAGTGCTACATTTACTCTCCATGTCCTATCTATCTCTCACAGAAAGCTGAAGGATGGGATGCAATTTGAAAGAAAGGACAACTTTAATTAGTGATATTGTGGTGTCATATAGATATATGTTCCACTTGTTATGTGTCAACATCACATGCACCAGATTTGATTATAGTTTAAACAAATGGAATCTAAGCACACATTAAACTGCTAAGGATTTCAGAATACAGAAAAGTGATTTGCAAGTATTGCTGCCAGATGGGCACTGAGAAGATGGGCATGGAAGACTGAGAGTCCAGACTTCTTGCGACTGATGTTTCTGATTGGATACCTAGATACATACTTCCACACTCTTACCCTCAAGCAAAATATATTACTCTACTGGCAAAAATACACACTTATCCTCAGAGTAGAACACTTGGGTTTATACAGATGCATTTTTCCAGAAGTAAACTCCTTTGTTACAAGATCAGCCGAGCCACCTTTAAGATATCAATGATGGTGCAACTCCTATCTCTGAAGGCCTGCAATATAGTGCCGATTCTGAGAGCATGCTGGAATTCTATGCTATCTTGTTTTCCTCTTCACTTTCCAAAAACATGCAATATTAGCACCTAACAATTTAGCTGCCAGATCCCAAGAGAAGTCTTGCATGACTGACATGTTTAAGGCTCCCTTTCTAAAGGGAATTTAGTTGTTAAGCTTTCCACTCTTGAAGATGAGTTTCCCCTTTCTGCCTCCTTTTAGGGAAAAAATGTGTTCACATTATCTTTGCAGGCAGAGGCACATCACAACACACCTGAAGAGTGTTCATCGATTTAATGGATATTTCTTGTGGGATCATTATTTATGTATTCTTTGGCATTCATTACCTTATTGGGACAAAGATAATTGGGATTCAGTATCCACCCAACTCAGAGTCACGTCAGGCATGAACCCTAGATATATTCTGAATACACCAGATGTCCTTGTAAGAAAGATACAGCATTACTTAAAACTGCTGCTAAAGACAGTTGTGTGGCGTTTTTTCTCAAACATCACTACAGCTAAAATTCTGATCCGTTGGGAATTCAGAGGGGTGATTGCTCCAAATCCATTAGTTACTACAGATAAATATTTTGCTAAATTTCTGGGACAAAGAAAAACGGGTATTTTCGGTAGGCGAGTATTGATTCTAGAGAATGTTAGGTGTCTTTCCTGACTTACATGCAAAGGAAAATTGATATCTTGCAGGGTAAAAACAGTGAACTAGCCTAAAACCACTTAGTAGATACTGCAGAAAATAAATAGAAAAAAAATGAAAAAAAATAAAAGAAAACAAATGCTGACCCAAAATTTAGAAGAGTCATTGAAATTAACGAGTCATGGAGCTCATTCATTAACAGGTGTCCAACAACTTTTTTTTAGGACAGATTTGAGAAAGCTTGGATTCCCTTCCCCTTGGAGAATGGAGAAGAGGCACAATGCTATCAACAATCCCAGGTTTCAAGAAGAACTCAACCTTGAGAATGAACATGCCATTTATGAGCTCTTTGGCCATTCAACCTTTGAGAGTTGAAAACTTGCTTTGTTATTATATATAAAAGCCCTCACTCGAGATCCTATAATCTATATGGGACAGAGCATGATAAAGTATCATTTATTTAAACTCTGCAGAATTCCCTAACTGGCACTTTCCTCATTTTACTGTTGTTTCACGAGCAGAGAGGCAAGCCAAGAAATGTCTGGATCACCAAGTGCAGGTACACCAAAAAACAGACTTCTGCCATACCTGGCCAATCCTTCCTCATAGAGATAGACGACAAGTGGATCATAGGATGTAACCAGAACATAGAGACGCACATCAAACTTGAAATCTGAAATACAGTTGTCAAGAGTCAGTGACTGCAAATATCGTTCAGAATCATAACTCGTTGAGGAATTTCATCAGACTCTGAGAGCAATAAACCATTATCTGCTGCTGACACAGATGCCTGAAGCTATCCCAGTTGAAAAGCTTCCAGCTTTTAATGAATTCTCTGGTTACATTTATCTGATGCTAGACCAAGCTAGACCATCCAATTATTCAACTGAACTCCTGCAAAGGTTGCAGAGATCTTCAGATGCAGGGTTGGGGGAAGGGAGAAAAGCAATTCCTAAGCACACTCACCATCTATGAGCAAGGGATTGCTGATGTAACGAGACACCAAGATGTTATCTTCCACTACAATTTGGTTTGGCTGCAGAAGAACGGAGAATTTAAGAGTGAAAAAACAGGAGATATAAGGAATAAGAAGAAATTAGATCAAATCCACCATTTTTTCCTGCCTTTCCGTTCTAAAGCCATCCTGTACCAATAGGTATGTCTGGGGAAGGAAGAAATAAAACCAAAATGAAAAAAAGTAACTGTCAGTCACAACACATTTAAGGTAATTAGATCCTAAAGAGAAGTCTAGGAATGATTACATTGCCAAAAAAACCTGCTCATTGCATGTTCCAGTAAAATACTCAGAGTAGCATACAGATTTAACAGCCACAGGGCAATGGCGTAAAATAGGCAGAGAAAGAAAAGCCCACATCTAAGAAGTAACTGTTACTCTGTTTGCTTCTCAAGGGTTTAACCAAATACATGGAGAAGGGGTTAGAAGACCCATGATAGAGTATGTAACTACATTTGGTGGGGAAGTGACAAGTGAAGAAAATGACTCACCTTGTAACCTTTATAACTACATCCTGGGCTGGTATGCAACCTTTTTGCCTACCTTCTACTGAGTCTCAGTTCACAGCAGGAGCTCCTGTACCCAAAAGGTAAGAATAGAAAGCTCCGACTATGACAAATACAAATTGCAAAGTTATGGGATCTGTTGAACGGGTTTTTACTTTTTGCTGTATGTAAGGCTCTCTTTTAACTAGTTTCTTGCACAACATTTTCTTGCCTCTAGTTTGCAAAAGAGGCAAGAGAATCACAGGATTCTGCCTTTATTCAATTTTGCATATATTCAGCCATAACACCAGCATCATGAGCAGAAAACCTAATCACTATAAAATGGTTATATAGATTATGAGAGAACAAACTCAACTTCCCTCAGAATATCACACAAAAGTGACACACTGTTCTATATGATCAGGGAAATGCAAAGGTTTGTTATTTTTGGAGAGGTTATTGTTTTCAAAACCTTTTGTGATGAAATTCTGAAAGACACGCTTTTAATGGCATCACACTGAAGAAAACTGGCCTGTGGGCCAAACTAGCTGCAGTGTTTCTTGAACAGAAATACACAAAGGGATATTGGTCCCAGAAGGGTATTTTCCCCAGGTCATGGCCAACTGCCATGTGAGCCTGAGCTCATTCCTCCCTTTCAAGCAAAGAAAAAACTGAGTGTAGCTCTGGAAATACTTACCTCATACACTTGGCGAATTGCTCCCTTATTTTATGGGAAATGATCCAAGTAGAGAACAGATGAGGCAGCATGACCCCTTCAGTGCAGGGAAGGCTAAAGGGGTTTGAATGAGTGAAAACAAAATGACTCAACAGTCATTTTGATGCTGAGCATATTTATTGGAATCCCTTCGTGTTTGGCTCCAGTTCAGATGCATTTGTTACCTATGACAACCTAACTCCCTGCAAAGCCCACAGAGAGCAAAAGATTCTAAAACCCGCACATAGTTTTTGAAATCAATCTCCAATAAACCTCAGGAAGGACACACTGGCTTTAGATAACAGAGCTTTAAGATTGATACACTTCCTACTCTATCAAGGTTCATTTAAACTGGTCTTTTCCATGGGGAAGTGAGAGACAAGGGGTCTGTTTGAGGACTGTTTAGGTCACGCAGGGAAACAACTAAGGAGAGCTTTGGAAATCTCCACAAAGTCAGCGTGCTGTCAGCCACAAAGAGGGCATGAATCAGCACAGCTTCCCAAACCGTCTCAGGGAGTATAAACTTGCTCCTAATAAGCTAAAACTTGAAGGTAGATTGCAAGATGAGCACAGCATACAAAGAGACAGAATTGCTTTTGGTTACACAGCACAGACCCAGGCAGGCCTTCCAAGCTGCTCAGGGCTGTTGAACTGCTCACCAATATATGGCTGAAATTGAGAGTAAGGACAGTGTCCAGTTAGATGCCTCCATGCCTCTTGCCTGGAAGCTGACATAGTTTTGAAGACAGTGTTACTGAAGAGCAGTCCTTTTAGTGAACACTTACATTATTTACCAGGTAGACACCTCGACCTCTGGAAGAGGCCACAGGCTTCACTATCCATGGGCCTCTGTCCTTAGAATAGGTATCTGGTTAAAAGAAAACAGCACAAGTCTGCAACATTTTCCATTTTGCTTATTAACAGGGGAACAAGAATCAAGAAAGTTGCCTATGGTAAAGGCTTTAGAGAACTCCACAAGGAGATCAAAGTCTGCTTTTTCAATTTCATCCCTTTGAATCACTGTAATTATTACAGCCCCTCCATGAAGCCCCCCTGCTGCTCCAACAGATTCATTCTTCTGCCCTATCCCTCCTTTTGGCTCTTTTCACCTCAGTACTCCCAGGCATTAGGCAGGGATATTGTGAAGCTGGTCATCAACAATACTGTGCACATAAAAACTCCTCCATTTCAGAATGTTAAGCCCACATCAGCTTTTTGAAAACTTACACAGGTATGTAGTAAACAGCAGAGTAGAAATTACATAAAGAAATCATGTGGACCTTTACTGTCTTCCCAGCTTCCTCTAATTTTGTTGCCTTGACTACTGGCATGATCAAAAGGCTAGGATATTAAAAATCATTCCCTTCGCTTCACACCCCATTATTTTGTTTTATGTCTGGGCATCACCAGCCATTCACTTACTGCAGAAATCCTGGTACTCTGTCGGGAGGATGAAAGTCTGAGGTAAGATATGGAATGTCTTGAACCCATGGGCCAGCTGCATTCGACAGACGTTCTTGTACAGTCTGTCCTTTCGTGTCAGTTCATATGACCTGGAGTCCCGAAACAAGAGACTGTATCTATTTTTTCCTCAACATTACATCAACCCTCTGCTCCAGCTACTGAAGTATCTGTAGCTTTGTCAGATGTCTAAACCCTAACCTGCAACTCCTCACAAGCTTTACTGCCTCTATTTTACGGCTGTATTAATATAATTTGTGGCACTTCCTGCAATTCCCAAGACAGACTGAATCTGTTATAATGGTGGTTACAAACTTTAGCTGGGGACATAGGACTATCCCTCTAACTAAAAACCCAAAGTCACAAATAATTTATCATCAAATAAAGAAAATTGAATTAAAAATCTAATATTTGGACTAAAGACAAGCATTTTAATTTATATATTATTCCCCAAAAACCCCAAAGGCCATTAAGAATGAAGACAGCATGTGGCGCAGGTGCAGTCCTTTGGGATTTTACAGTACCATGGATACTCTATTTTTTGGGGGGGTATCTGTGTTCAGATTTTTGCAAATCATCACAGAGATGTTCAACAAAATATGGTATCAAGGTCTTACCTAGGGAAATGATTGACTTTCTGAACATCTGTAAGGGAACGCAGCAAGCAGGGCTTCAAGTGTGATCCTGTCCACATGAGATTATAATCGCTGCTATTAGGGTGAACCTAAAAAGTAACATAAAAAACACCACACATGAAAACATCGAACTAATGAAAAGTAACACCACTTTGTCCCTAGATCCAGAAGGCCAAAGCAACTCTAGTTTAAGACAGTCTCCTCTATTACATCTAATATAAGGGCAACTCCAGCCAAATTGCTGCCCTAAGGTACTCCCATGCTGGGAAATAACCATGTCAAATTTTTCTTAACAAAGTTGTGAGACTCATTTTCATAGCTTGCAAAGCATTTTAAATCTCTTCAGGAAACCTGTCAAATCAATTCCTTAAGGTGCTGTTATTCTGAAAAAAATAATCAACCCCACATATCTCTCAAATTGTCATAAGCTGCATACAGGACATTCTTTAAGGCAAGAAGGCACTAGAAGAGAAGTGTGAAATACTACATCAATACTTCTGAGAGCTTGTAAAGGCTGAGAAATTAAATCCTTCAGATCTTCCCAAGGGTGTGATACTTAAATGCAAAAAGAGAAAAAACACATGACCAAACTTCAGCATTCCTTCTCCCCTGTTTTTGAAGGCTTAAGACTAATAGGTTCTCCTTTGAGAGAGCAAAATGACATATTTTCAGTCTGACCAGCAGAGTACATTAAAAGACAAAACCAAAAACCTCAAGGGGGGGCCACAGCAACTTCCTGGTTCTAACGCTGCAGAGTTAAAAAGAAAACCAAAACAACAAACAAAAAATCCAAAACCATTATAATCCCCTCCCAGCCTAGCACAAAATCAGACCACAAGTCTGTTGCGCTCACCTCGTGGAATCCATGGGCAGTGAGAATGCTCCGAACCAGCCGGCTGTCCGTTCGCACAATCTTATAGGACATGTGGAAGCGCTCTGTGAAGAGGCAAAGAGACACGGGATTAGTCCGTGCCTGGAAGAATAAACCAAAGTCACTCATGCTACCAAAGAAAAGGACTCAGACACTACAGTTGCACTTAATTCACAGAGAGTAGCAGCACATAACAGGCAAAGGGAGATAGGAAATGCCAACATCAGCATCACTGAGCTGACTTACATCCATCCTTAGCTATAATATAGTAGCATCACAGATCCAACCCCATCATACAAAAATAAAGCACAGGACAGCCTAACAAATATGCAGATTTTTTTTTTTAAACATTCCATTATATAGACTGCTTCATAACACTCCAAACATGATTTCAGCTTTCTCCTCTATTCAACATTGGTATTCCCTGTAAAAAGTAATCATGTCTGATACCCCTCATTGACATGGCCAGCTTATGTGATCACTTTTCAGATCCTGAAAGCCCCAAATAAAGCATCGAATTTTTGTTTACATCTCATTCACCTAAAGTAAACACTACAAGGAAATAAAATTATAAATTCACTATGGAAATAGAAAGTCATTAAAACAAAAGCAGTACGCAGCCCTAGAAATATAAGATAAACCAAAGGCAAGTAGAAAGACTAGAGGTCAGTTGTAATGGAAGAGGATGTGGCAATCCAAAAAAGAGCTAAAGAGACAGTAGAGAAAGAAATTGCAATGCAAGAATACAGAACTGCCTAGAAAAGGCAGTTTACAAATCGATGCAAACTGAAAATAAAAGGGTGAAGATTAGATTAAACTTCAGGAAATATGTTCTATCAACAAAAGTAAGCCAAAAAAAGTAAGAAGTATCATAATCAGGAACAAGACGAAGCTGGAGGAAATTTAACAAGCTGCACTATTCAGCAGTAAACTTGTTAAACCATGTGAGAAAAAGTAGAAGAGACCCAAGCTCCAGTAAAAATGTGAGTTGCAATTACCATCAGCTTCTGGCACCATCCAAGTATGTTTTTAACTCACATGAAAGGATCAGGAGTTTCCACATATAAATCACCTTCTCCACCCCTTACCCCAATGAGCCAGAAGCATTTCTGCTTGGATAGGATATTAGAAACAAAAGCACCAATTACCTAAAAAAGGAAAAAGCAAGAGAAGAAAGAAGTGTCAGCACCTTCACAAAAAGAAGCTGAGTAGATTTTAGCTTTTTTCCAACTCAGCACATTCAGAACGAGCTCCCAGCTGTACACACCCACAAGTACTAACTTTCCAAATCCAAAGTGACTGTCTGTAACAACCCAGCCTCTTTAGAGGCTCTCCCTTATTTGACACTAGATAGGTTTGGTCTCCCAACTCAAGTGCTGCCAGCAATCGTTTTGTTTATGGCCTTCTCAGGGTTGTGAGGCTGTAGACTCAGAGATTTGTTACTACAGCTTATTATTGTTCATCTGTGGGGTTGGCTGCTCTATTTCCCAGTGAAATGCTCTCAAAACTCACTCCAATGATTGATTTTAAGGTCTTAGCTATGGTGAACTTGTATTCTGGTTCTAAGTTCTAGCATGTCCTCCAAGTTCAGTTTGCAAGCAGACAGTCTCAACTCAAAATATGTCAGGGCTCGGTGGAGGGACAGATACTTATCATAGACACTTATCCTAGTCCAAAGACATTATAAGCATTCACCAATGGATTTAGCATTTCTGAATGTCTCAGGGGTCAGAGATCAGAGAGGATTCTTTCTTTCCTACCATGTCCTCTTCCCTCCACAAAGCAAAGGGAACATCAGGTAAGAAGCTTTTACCTCACGCTTTCAAGTGTAAAGCTGGCACATAGCAGCACCCACCTCCAATTAGACGGAGGTAGCTGTCCTTAGTCAGAATGGCTTCAGCATGAAACACCAAAACAGGGACTCGCCTGCAGCCACCACCGGTCCACTTGATACATGGATGATCCCTGAAATGACAAAACAGTCAGTATAAGCAACTGCTGAACCTCATACATGCAGCAGTTAGCTACAATAAGAACACAGAAATTCTCCATTCTTACCCATCTCGCCTGTGGACAGAACATAAGTAAACACGCTGGGGAAAATAGTGGAAGACTAGTGAGGAGGACTGTAAACATGCCTAAGTGACTTACAGCTTGGGTGTAGAAAAATACATGGGACATTCTAACTGTTGTCTATCTTTGTGTGTTTCACAAGTAGAACATAGGAAGTCAGATAGCAGAGCACTGCAAAAGACTTCAAGGCACTCTATCGAACATGCTTGAGATTCCTGCCCTATGGTGGGAAAGGTCAAAGCACAGTGGTAAAATACACCTGCAAGAATCCCTGAAAAACAGGTGTGAGCAGATGCTTCAGTGATCCTCTAGCAAGGACCAAGCTCCACAAGCTCCACAGTGCCTTTCTGTCTGTGTGCCTCTGAAGCTGCTCTGGGGATCCCCCAGTGAGCAAGGCAATGAAAAGAAATTTATTCTTTGCATTTCAGCCAGTTTTGTGATTGTCCCTAAAGCCCTGCCTGTGCTGATCCAACATACACACATGCTAGGAATCTGGTTCCAGGTTGCACCCTAGCTAGATGCCAGGCACCCACCAAAGCTGCTCCCATCATTCCAAATTTACCAAAAGACTCATGAGTGATGGGCAGGGAGGGATCACTCACCAATTACAGTCACAAGCAAAAGAGACTCGACTCGTGGAAATTAATTGAACTTGCTACCCATCAAAATCAGAGCAGGATAATAAGAAGTAAATCAAATCTTTAAAACACCTTCTCCCCACTCCTCCCTCCTTTCCGGGCTTAACTTTAGTCCTGAATCTCTACCTCATTCCCCTCAGCAGTGCAGGGAGATGTGGAATAGGGGTTACACCCAGTTCATCACGTGTTGTTTCTGCCATTGCTTCCTCCTCAAGGAGAGTCCATACCCCGCTGCAGCACGGGGTCCCTCCCACAGCAGACAGTCCTCCACAAACTTCTCCAATGTGAATCCTGTCCACGGGCTACAGTTCTTCATGAACTGCTCCAGCATGCATCCCTTTCCACAGGCTGCAGTACTTAAAGAAAAGGCTGCTCCATCCTGGGTCCCCCACATGGTCACAAGTCCTGTCAGCAAATCTGCTCCAGGGTAGGCTCCTCTCCCCATGGCTTTGGAGGACCCTCATAGGAGCCTGCTCCAGCACAGGCTTTCCATGGGATCCAAACCCTCTTTTGGGCATACACCTACTTCAGTGTGGGGCTCCTCCACGAGCTGTAGGTGGACCTCTGAACCCTCACAGATTTTCATGGACTACAGAGGCACAGCTACCTCACTATGGTCTTCACCACAGGCTGCAGGAAATTCCATCTCTGGCACCTGGAGCACCTCCTTGCCCGCTAACCTTGGTGGCTGCAGAGCTCTTCCTGTCACATATTCTCACTCCTCTCTTCTCAGAGCGCTATTACCCTCATGCAGTAGTTTGTTTTTTTTCTCTTCATAGATATATTATCACAGTGGTGTTTCTACCATCATTCTTGGGCTCCATCTTGACCAGTGGTGGGTCCATAGTGGAGCACTGGTTCTGTCAGACATGGAGGAAGCTTCTAGCAACTTCTCACAGAACCCACCCCTTTAGCCCTCCTGCTACCAAAACTTGGTCACACAACTGCAATACAGCACCCTTGGTACTCAGCCATAAAGGGAATCTTCCAGATCACCAGCTTTTTGAGTTGCTCTTGCCAGCTCAAGTTTTGTTTAATCCTGTTTAGTTCAGTATTTATTTTAGTGGATATAATTTAGGAGAGGCCTAGTGAGCTTTCACAGCTACAGTTCTCTGAATTTATAGCCTGAAAACAACATCTATAATTCATGATGAACCACAATTGCTGGTATCCACACAACAAGACTTTACAATGCAGGTTCCAGCCTCCAATTTTAGAACTGCAGATCAGAGCAGTCTGCCTGGCTGTAATACTGGACTCTGAAGTACACAAAAAAAGCACTAATGCAGAGTTTGAGAGACTAGAACAGACTTGGCTCAATGCAATGGATAAAGCTGTGTATTCTTCCCTTTTAATTCCTGTCAGATACAGTGGAATACAAGACCAGAATTCAAGAACAATGCCCCTCAATGTACCACTTAAGCTATAGGCTCTGAGATGCAGTGATCAGTTCTGTAAAAAAAAACAAAAAAAACCCACTACACCAGGAAATATCATCTCCTCAGAGGAACTAAGGACACACACAAAAAAAATTAAAACCTGTTATATCAAATTCTAGGATCACACAAAGAAAAACTGCCAACCTCCCTAGGCAAATAAAACTTGGGCTGTTTATTACCATTGCACAAGAAAATTAAAAACATGGAAAAGTTAACTGAAAACAGAGACTGAAGGACTGGAGGGACATCTCTACACTAATAAGAAAAAATAAAAAGACTGACAGATATACCAAAGCATTTGTCTATAGAATATGAAAGATCATTGTCTGCCAAAGGTTTGGAGAAGCTACACAAGACTAAACACCTCCAACACTTAGAACAAAGGAACAGAGATAGAAGAGCAACTTTCTGATGCTAGGACAAGGGCTCTTAAGGGTAGCCTTAGTCCTCTTACAAAGTTACTATTGTTATCACCCAGACAAATTAACTTCACAGCACCCCCACCTGCTTCTGCTACCTCTAAAAAATAATTTAAAAAAAAATCTACAACTGGGATGTAATTAGCTATTCAGACTGGAAGGGACCCAAGAAGATTCCAGAATTTACACTACAAGCCAAAGCCTTATGTAAGTGGAAAATGAGCTGAGGCAACAGGGCAGGAGTTTATACTAAGCCTGTCCTGAGGATTTGCACCAAGGCTCAATCCTCCAGGTGACAGTCATTCATTCCTAGCATGACCCCTGGTCACTTGATGTAGACATACTGTTACAGTTACATTCTAGGTGAAGTTAGTTCTGGACCTTTCCATCCGTGAGGATCTAGCAAATCTGAGCCAACCACCTGCTACGAAGCAACATTCCTCTGAATGTCTTAATTCCCTGTAGTCTGCAACTGGGCACTCAGTCACAGTGTGCACCCAAAGAAACCCCAACAGGACAAAGTGATGAAGGTCCAGGTGAAACAAAAGTGATTCTGCTACCGGAAAGAATAAGGGAGCAATTACTTCACATGCAAAGCTAAAAGAAGTTACTAAACAAAGATGGAACAAGCATTAAGACTTGTTACTAGTAAGAAATATCAAGTCTAGTAGTTGAGTTATCAAAAGACAGTTCTATAAAAAGGATATAAAACATCGTATATCAATCTACTGTACAGCAGCTTTCTAATCTCTGCAGCAAAAAAAGCTAAAAAAAAAACCACAGTAAAAAAAACCAAAAACCCACACATGCCAAAAAAAAAAAAAAAAGAGGACAGATAAGAACATGACAGAAAAAAATCTACAAAACTATGGACTTCACAGCAGCCAAAGAAAAGCTGCACATCCAACCCTGATGAATGTGGTGGTCTTTTAGGTTGCAGATGTAGGTAGCCTGCCCATAGGCTTGAGGCCCAAACAAACCATCTTCCACTTCACAGGTAGGAGGGTAAGAGGGTAAGGAATGCATCTGTCTTTTCAAACTACTACAGATCCACCAGAAGACACAAGGACATAGAAATAGTTCAGAGGATTTTTTCTACTTACTCCAGTCCATCTATAGCATCTTCTTCCTCCTCCGGGGATGAGTCAGTTTCCTCCAGATCTTTAGCCATCCCAGCTGGCATTTCCTCTAGGAGTTTTCATACAGCCCACTCCTAGTTGCAAGAGCAGTTACCTGCAACAAGGATTAAAAAGCTGAGCAGGACAGCTTGAGGTATCAGGTAACTATCACCTCCTGCCAGTACGTATTTCTCACAGGACTATCAACAAGTCTGTTAAACATATGTGACCTGTCAAACATCACCTCCGAGCCACGAGAGTGCAGAAAGAAGCATCATTTCCAGCAGATTATTTCGCACCTGCCCGTGAGAGCCACTCGGGCGCTTACCGGTAACGCGCGTCCCTGCCCCACCCTGCCCCGCCTCGGGTCGCAGACTCACGCCAGGCCGGCCCGGCTCCAATGGGAAACGCCCGCCAAGACCGGCCCGGCGACAGACGGACACCGTAACGCCTCCACTGGCGCAGGAGCGGCCCTCCGGCCCGGAGGAGCGGCTACGGGCGGCCTACCCCGCGCCAGGCCAAGCACGGCGACCTCCGGCGGCCCCAGAAGAAGCAAGAGCGGCGGAGAACACCTAAGGCAGCAGGTCCCCGTGCTAGCCATACCTGCCCCCGCACAGCCGGGCCGCGCCGGGCCGGGCCGGGCGCACCAGACAACCCCGGCCCCTCCCGCCGCTTCCCCGTTACTACAACAACCGACGGGCGGCGGCCCCGCCCCGGCGCACAGGCGGCCCCACCGCCTCACTGCGCAGGCGCGCTCGACTCCGCCCCCTGCCGGCGCTCCCAACTACTCCCGAGAGGTGGGCGGGGACGGAGGTGGGCCCGCCTCCCACGCGGCGAGGGATCCGATTGGCGGGAGGAGGTCAAACGTCACGTGGCGTGCGCATGGAGCGGCGCGCAGCGACCAATCGGAGCGCTGGGCGGTGGTGTGGGCGGGGCTCCGGTTTTCGCCGCGGGAGCGCCGCCGGTAACGAGCGGGGACTCGTCCTGGGCCTGGCGGGTGCGGTTCAAGCTAGCCGGGAGGATGAGCCGGTTCCTGAACGTGCTGCGCAGCTGGCTGGTGATGGTGTCGGTCATCGCCGCCGGGAATACCCTGCAGAGCTTCCGCGATCACGGCTTCCTCTCAGAGAAGCTATACACCGCCAGCCCCGGCCTCGGTAAGGGCCGCGCCGGCCGCCCTGGCGCCTGGAGGTCGCCTACCAGCTGCGGGCCTTGGGTCTCCTCGGGGTCCGACCTCTGGGGCCCAGGAGCTGTCTACTGCCCCGGCGTGCGCCTCTACGGCTGGGCTGGGGGTGACAGGCAGGGCCGTGCGTGGTCTCCATGTGCTCCCTCCTTCTTTACGCAGTGAACGGGCTCCAGGCTCGGACCTTCGGCGTCTGGACCCTGTTGTCATCAGTGATCCGCTGCCTCTGCGCAATCGACATCCGTAACAGGACGTATGTAAAGCAGCACTCGAGAAATCCATTGGTTTCCTTGCTAGACGCAGCCTGAGCTTAGGGGGCGGCACAGAGGAGGTGGGGAATCAAAAGCTATTCCTGAACTTTCTATAGTGTTGACAACATTCCCCTGAAGAAACTCAAATAGCAGTGTGGGATTTGTGTGATAGCTGCTGCCCCCTTCTTCCTCTGTGGGGACAGCCTGTGCGTTTGATTTCTGTTCTTAGCTCAGTCAGAAACTGGTAGATATGAGGCCTCTTACTGTCACCAATTTCTGAGCTCCACCTTGGAAATCATTTTCTGAATGGCGTTGCTGCTCTGTTAATTAAGGAATTGCTAATGCTATGGTGTAGTGTGACTGATGCTCAATACTTCTTGTACTGTGACAGCTCAGCTAAAGACTGGGACAGTTTTAGATGCCCCATTGCAGTGGTCTTAACTGGTTGCTTTCTTTTCTACTGACATCAAAGCCTGAGGAGCAGCCTGATGCTGAGTGCAAGACACACCATCTCTCCCTGTGCTAACAGAAATGTTTTTGAGAGGGGTTTCCAAACAAGTTGATTTGAGGTCTGTGCCAGACAAAGCCTTCATTGGAAGTTCCTAAAACACTTTTGTCACTGCTTCCCTCAGCCCCGCAGCAGAAGTCACTGTTCGCCTGGCAGTATGTGCTTGGATTGCTTAGGCTTATCTGAGGTAGAGGTGCAGGGGCTGGTATGTTTTTAGGGGGTGGTGGCAACACCAGTTACCAAGAATCAGTTGTTTCTTTGACGATTGTTTCTTGAACCCGCACCCTTTTCAACAGCTTTTGCCCATAGAGGGTAGCAGAGCACAGGTGAGGAGACATTGGGTGATGCAGCCTGAAGTCAGCCAAGATCACCCTAGATCTCTGCTCATCCAGTTCTCACTTTTTGGTGTGTGCAGATATTTCTCATTTCACTGGTGCCCTACTCATGTTCTCCCCTCTTCACCTTCCTTCGGACCAGATAAAGCCTGTGATTTTCAATGCGCCATTGAACATGCTGCCCCATTCTCCTCTCAGCTGTTGCCCAGGGAAATTTTGCACCTCACTAGGCAAGGGACAAAGTCCCCTCTGTGCTGCCAGTGAGAGCAGATAGGGCAGCATGCAGGTTTGCCTTTTTTTCCACTCAGCCACATTCATGCCCATAGTATGATATGATAACTTGCTTTTTTTCTGCTCTTCAACAGCCTCTATCACATCACACTCTTTACCTTCTTTTTGGCCCTTGCTCACTTCCTCTCTGAGGTCTTCATATACCACACTGCAGCCTTGACAATTGGAGTTATGGCACCTCTCATGGTAGCAAGTAAGTAGAGCTCTGCATCCTCCCCTGCATACTCCTTGGAGCTATGACACCCCAGAAAAACTCCCCATGCAGCTATGGGCTGAGGGGTTGGTGGGAGGGGATGCCTTATCTCTTGTCCAGCCTTTTCTACACAACTCATCCTGTATCTCTATCACAGGTTTCTCTATTATGGGGATGTTGATTGGGTTGCAGTACCTGGAAGTAGAAGCGCTTTCAAAAAACAAGAAGAAAAACTGAAGTTGAGGGCTTTTTGTAGGTCGGTGTCATCTTCTACTTTCACTGCCAGACTTCCACAAAAGCTCAGCTGAACTTCTCCAGAACACTAGTCCTGCTGGTGGGTCAATGTTGGACTCTGTCGATCACTGTCATTACTAAGTTGTTTTTGTCTTGTCCAGGCAACATTTCAACTGACTGATGTCAAAGACCAAGTCCCAGAGGAGTTTGTATCAAAGCTTATGGGAGGCAGTTGGTGACTGACTCCCTGGGTAGCAGGCAAAGTCTCTGGCATGCCCAGAGCACTAAGGACTTCTCTCCCAGTGTACTTGTGGGGACAAGGTGCAGAAGAACTATCCAGGATTTGCTGAATAATTTGCACCAGAAAGAGAGAATGGGTGCTACCCCTGGCACTGCCGTGTAACTTGCATGTGTGTGTTCCCCAGGGGCCATTTCTAATAAATGACAAAAAACTGCAGTGGGCTATGTTTGTCTTTCTGCTACACAGCAGTGGGTAGAAGATCAGAGCCAACAGCACCTTCCACTGTATGTTGCAGAATACCTCATCTCTCTTTACAGCAAACCTACCTTACCCTGACCTTGCCACAAAGTTCCAGTCTGACTGCTCATGTAACACAAGAAGAGGGTTGTTGATGCTCTCTCTTCTGTAGCATACTGGTGACAGCAAACTCAAACTTTGAATCTGTGAGCAAGGACTGAGCTTCCTGTGTAGTGAGTTATAACTACAGAAGATGGAGAAAACAGGAACAGGTTCCTTAGACCTAGAGAAAATAATGCCCAAAGCAGTGGACAGCACACAGAACACAGGAAAAAAAAACAGCAGGAACTCCTAGCTGGGAAGACAATTCTCACGCAGAAGAAAAAGGGAACAAAGGGAGGAAAAGAATACAGCAGTAGCACAGGGTAGAAAGATTTTTCCATTCTGCAGAAGACTTCAGGCTATTTAATGAGCCACATGTAGACTGTTTTCAACCATTTAATATGAATGTGTCAGATTTCATTTTACACTGCAAATGTTTATATTTTACATTGAAATTTCTATTGAAAATCATTGTAAACCCCCATCCTCAATCCCAGGCCATCACAGATAGGACTTCCATCATAGAATATGCTGAATTGGAAGGAGTTTATCAGGATCACAGTCCAACTCCTGGCCCTGTACAGGACACCTTAGAATCACACCATGTGCCTGAGAGTGTTATCTAAGCACTTACTGAACCCAGGCTATATCAAAATGTAGTGTATCCAAAAAAAGTTTAAATTTCACCAAAAAAATGTTTTGTCAAGAATAGTTTGTCAGAGAGGAGTATTTTTAACCATTCCACCTCAGTACAGCTTCTGTCCCCTGCCTCCAATAATACATCAGTAACTGCTTGATTTAAGGCATATAAGGATACTTGATGTCTCCAGCAGAAGTGAGATGCTGGAAAGGATGGAGAAGTGATAAAGGGATCTACAGTTGCGTTTAGAAGACAAACAGCATACAGCTGGGCAGTGTCTATAAGACACAAATGCTGGTACAGTGGGCACCTTCTGCTGTTCTCTATTATGAAGTGGGAAGCTTCCACCAGAGCAAAGCCGGATTCCCATCATACCCCTCTCTGTGGCTGTGAAGAGCAACACAGCCTTGGGTGGTTTTCTCAATATAACACTTCACAAAAGTTTTTATGAAGTGTTGAAACATGCAAAAGGTGCTTTATTGTTAAGGAGGAAGACAGAGTCCTCAACCCGGGGAAACTGTAGTTTGACTCACTTTTATTGCTAATGTAGTGATGAGCTAGTCCTTGCCTTGAGCTAGAAGGGTCTCTTAATTACTCCTACTATGTAGGAACACTAGGACAACCCCAGTGAATTTTGAGCAGAAGTTTATCCAGGTTAAGAGTGCTTCATCTGGGAAAGCCAAATAATAAAAGAAGAGCTGGCAGTAGCTGGTGCACTGCTTTGCACTTGCTGGTAATGTACTGAGGCCTGTACTACTACCTGTGCAACACAGAGCATAATGGGAACCAAGGCAGAGCAATCTCTTTTCCCTAGAGTTAGCTCTTCCAGGGCTGCTCATAGAGTAAGTGTGGTCCAGCTTCTGCCTTTTATGTCACAGCCACATCCAAGGTGCCACCATCATGCTCAGGGTTAGCCTGGTACTTTGGCTTTTCTCTCAGCACATGTGCTTTTTCCAAGCATATATGGTGGGAGTGGGGGGACACAGCGGATTTTCCCAGCTTTTCCTCCCAAACCAAAACAGCAAGATGCAAAGATAAAACTGATGAAAGCAACCTCCGTCTTGTTTTGCTCTTTCACACTCTCCACAAGCAGTTCACAGGGCTCCTTGTCCTGAGGCTGCCCCCTCCCACGGTGTGCATGTCACAGGAGGATGGTGCATGTAGAAAAGATGGGAATAAGGGGGGCTGTATCTCCCAGCTTTGCCACCCCTTCATTTCACAGCCGTGATTCTTCAAGGACTATGGGATTAGTGTAGGCTTCTGGCAACACTTTCTGCAAGTCAGAGAAAACCAATATGGTTAGGATCCTGGCTGGTCAGACCCTGGGTAGTTTATAGCTTCCTGCTAGTGCAGAAATCCCCAAAGAAGAATTGCCATCCTCAGAGAGTGCTGCTGATTCCCTCTTCCTTCTCTAGCCACTTTGACTACCCAAGCAAGGGGCACTGGGGCAGCAGGGCAGTGCAACATCCAACTTTTTAAGCTACGTGCTGTAGTCCTCAAACCATTTCTAATTCACGGTGGGGCTGATACCACCAGAGGTAGCAGACCCACAGCCAGCTCACCAACATTTCACTGTGACACAAGCTCAGCCTCAAAGCATGAAGTTGCTGGGCCAGTTCCCTGAGCAAGAGAAGGTGCTGGGAACTCCTTCATGCCATGAGACAGCACAGTGTCTGTGCAAACACCAGAGATTTTGCTTTCTTTACATCCTCAGGAGGCTCAGCACAACCACTAGCTCCCCTGTGCTCTTACTCCAGCGTGTCTGAGGCCTCTTCAATTCCTAGACACATCTTGCTCATCTTCAAGTCTTTTCATCCCCATCCCCACTGCCCATTGAAGTGCTGCACCGTCTGTCCTGCATCTTCCCTTTCCCCAACTTGGATTTATGGCTGAGATAATTCCCCAGAGTGGTGCATTCTTCCAAGTTCACTGCTCTAAAAGAGATGTAAGAAATAAGAGGCAAACATACAAGAGATTTTTCACCATAAATCCTGTAGAAGAACTAGCCTAATTTCTGGAAACCTTAAGATGGAGGGAGCTTTTCCCAGAGGAAAAGCAAGTAAAATGGAGATTGCTACCCAATTATCACCCTATCCTCAGCTTCATGGAACAGCCAAACTGCAGCAATTACAGTTCAGCTTTCCTGGGTGGAGTTTGACAAGCTCAGCTTCTGAGCCTTTCTGGGGTGTATTAGGATTAAACTTGAGACTTCTTCCCCTAGTGGATTTCTGATACCTCTCAAGTTCTGATTCTGCTTACAGCGAGACAGCCCAGCTGTCACCAATTCAGAAGACAGCACACAGACTTGTAAGGATGAATGTGGAGTTTTCTGCAGCCTGGGCTCTGAGTTTACTCACTGTAGGGCAAGACTGACATCTGAGGCAGAAATCAGAGGTGCACAGGAAAGAGGTTCACATCTCCTGTGCAGTTCAAGAGAAATCCAGTCAGCATGGAAGCAAGAGATATGAAACAGTCTCATTTTGAGCAGGCTCTTACACAATCTGTAGGTGAAAAGGTTTTACAGAAGTCAGCAGCAATATCCTAAAGCAGAGGAGTGAGATAAGGAAAGCTTCAAAGAGACGTCTGGAAGCAAAAGCCAAGAAGTGCAAAGAGGGAACTTCAGCAAGCAGGAAGGGTAGGGAGATGCATGAAGTAGTGCCAGAGGTAGGAATAAGGTGAAATCTGCATTTAGACTTCGGAAACCACCAGAACACACCATGGAAGCACTCAAGCAGCTCAGAACAGGCTCCCCAAGCACCTCTGGGGTCTCAGCACCAGTCATCTGTTGTGGAGCTACAGGAGTCAGACAGCCTGCAGGACTCCACCACCTTGGGAAAGGAAGGCTGCTCTCACAGCTTTGAGTCACAGTATTGGAAAAGGGCACACAGATTGCCTGCCTATGGCTTTGGAATAGGAAAAGGCTGCTTGCCACACAGTAAACACAGAAATTTAGTAGGGAAGTTTGGGAAGCAGAGAAACGCACATTGTTTGTGCCTATGCACAAAATTCTAGCATTGTTTTATTGACAGTATTTCACTACAGGCTAAGCATGGTGCAGCTTCCAACAGAATCCAGTAAGCTGCTGAGGGTGGGTGCTTGTCCCAAACAAACTATGGAAGATCAGCAAAGATGCTTTTTCTTAATACAAAGAAACAATACAAAAAGGTTTGCGTGGATGCTGAAAATCACAAGCAAATGAGCACAAGCACTACACAGCGTATTTGTGAGTATAATGTATGTGCGGGATCAAGTGACACTACTATGAAATCTTGAGGCACAACACTGGAATGGCTTCAGATGCATTTACAACAAAGGCAGCACACAACAAGCGTCATTTTCATGTAAAACAGGCATTTAATCCAAATGTCCTGAGATACAGAAAGCTAACCCAGCTAGAGCTCTGGGAACTCAGGCAGACAAAAGTGGGAAGGATGGTTGGGACCACACTACAGCTTAATTAATAGGGGACAAGGTGTACACAATGCCATTAGCCTAATTTAACCTACTAACTGCAATATTTGTCTAATTATAACCATAGCAGATGAGGGCACCAATAGAAGACAAATTGCTACACAGCCAGTGGTACAGTACTTCAATGGAAAGTGAGATTTGCACAGGTCTACAGCTCTGCATGCTCTGGAAGCTCACGGCTGACTCTGAGTCTTCTCCTTGCAACAACCACAGAATTGTTTAGGCTGAAAAAGACCCTCAAGAGTCCAACCATTTACCCAGCACTGCCAAGTCCACCACTAAACCATGTCTCTAAAAACCACATCTATATGTCTTATAAATACCTCCAGGGACGGTGACTCAAACACTTCCCTAAGCAGCCTGTTCCAATGCTTGACAACCTTTTCGGTGAAGAAATTTTCCTAATACCCAATCTAAATCTCCCATGGTATAACTTGAGGTTGTTTCCTCTTGTCCTGTTTCTTGTTACTTGGGAGAGGAGACTGACCCCCAGCTCACCATGACCTTCTTTCAAACAGTTGTAGAGAGCAAAAAGGTTCCCCTTGAGCCTCCTTTTCTCCAGGCCAAACAACCCCAGCTCTCTCAGGTGCTCCTCGTAGGACTCGTGCTCCAGACCCTTCACCAGCTCCATTGCCCTTCTCTGGATATGCTCCAGCACCTCAACCAATGTCTTTCCTGTTGTGAGGGGTCCAAATTTGAAAAAGGACTCAAAGTGTGGCCTTACACAGGGAGACAATGCCTGCCCTGGTCCTGCTGGCCACACTATTTCTGACACAAGCCAGGATGCAAGAGCTGTTGACCAGCACACCCAGGTCCTTTTCTGCTGGGCAGCTTTCCAGCCATTCTGTCCCCAGACTGTAGCACTGCCTGGGGTTGTTGTGACGCAAGTGCAGGACCTGGCACCTGACCTTGTCGAACCTCGTACCACTGGCCTCAGCCCATGGATCCAGCCTATCCAGGTCCAACCCTCTAACAATACTCCTGCCCAACTTGGTGTTTGGTCTGCAAACTGTCTAAAGGTGAACTCTATCCCCTCATGCAGGCCATTGACAAAGACATTAAACAGGACTGTCCCCAGTACTGAGCCTTGGGGCACAGCACTAGTGACCTGACACCAGCTGGATATAACTCCATTTACCATCAGTCTTTCCCTGCCCATGGGACTCTTCCTTATCCTTCTATCAAAGCATAGCAGCTTCATGGTCCCTGTAGAACATGCCCTAATCTTAGCAGGGTTAAGGTTGGTTTTCCCAATCAACTCACTCTGCTTTTACCTGTTAATCCTACTGGCTGTGGCCCTAAATGATACACACAGTTGTTCACACTTTGAAAAGCAAAGAGTAGCATGGATAACTTAGTAGACCAGCCTGCCAGTGTGAAGCAGAGGACAGTGAGTAGTAAAGCATACTACCCCAAGCAACAGCTGAGAAAATGCAAAGTACCACTGAGATTCACAGATCAACAAGCACAGAGCTTTACAATTTTCAGGCATTCTTATACCACAAGGCACCAACCCAATGACTCTGTTCTTGCTACATGTTTTTAAATTTCCTCCTTGAAGTTGCCCATGCACCCTGGCTGTAATCAAAGCCAATTCTTTACAGTTTCTGGTATCACCTCCAGCCAAGAATCTGGACTGTAAAAATAATGCCAGAGAAGTGGCTCCAAATGTCTGCACCTACTCTCCCTAACAAATGACTGACAGTTCAGTTCTCCATTTGCTCCAGCACCAGGTTTTGCTTTGCTACACCTAGCTGAATCCCTACATCTCTGTCTGGCATGAGTCTGGGGGGATCTCCACTCTGTTCTTGGAGGCTGTCTTGTCTTTCCTGTCAGCTGAGAAGACCAGAAAGACTCTTGATACTCTACAGCCATTGCAGTCACCCCAGAAATGCCATTGGTTTGGTGCCTGTGCCACCCTGTGAGTGTTCAGAGAAGTAGATTAGTACAATTGTCCTACCTTGGTGTGTTTAAGCTAGTGAGCAGGAGTGGGAATTGATGGGGTTAGAGTTACAAGCTACAGTCCCATAATCCATGATCTGATTGCTGCCTTGGAGTCTCTGTAATGATAGTCACAAGTCACCATCCCAGAAAATATGGAGGCAAGAAGGAAGAGAAATGAAAGCAGAGGAAAATTAAAGAGAAACAGGCAACAGAAGAAACCAGTAAAATCACCCAAGCATGTGTAAGGTAGCTGTGGCACATAGAAAAACTCCAGTACCTGACTTCATCAGAGCTCTCCACAAAGGCAGCACACAATGCCCAAGCCTAGCTGGCTGATCCCCTGGCCGAGGCATCCATCTTAGTGCAGAACACCAGACTCAGCCTACCTTCAGTCAGTCGAGCACCTGCAGTTGGTTGTTAAGTCTGAGAATACTCAGGTAAGCTAAGCCATGTGGAGGACACATTTGGGGCTGTGGTGGGGTGTGCAACATGACTTCCTCAGAGCATGTCTCCTCAGGGGGAAGGAGCTGCCAGCAAAGTTTTTGACTGACTGAGACCTGTTATCTCACACACATCCTTCTGGTTCTTACTACCAGTCAGTTCTGGAGACTTTTAGGATTATAAAAATGACATTGCACCACCTTTGCTTTGGTCACAATGCTCTTCCCCATGCAGCAGCAAGCTCTTGCAAGAATATTTAGACTGAAAAAGATTCATACTAAAAATGGCTTAGGTAAAAATGTACAGTTCATCTGATGAGAAAAATGTCTGACAAAGGGAAAAGGATCTTACTACTAGAAGGCATCATCTTCACTGCCAAAGGACCTCAGGCCCTTTCCTGGGCCTTCCACATACATGTTATGAATTTAACTCACAGTGCCATCAGCATTGGAGGAGGGCAGCACTGTCTTCTGAATAGGGCTGACTCAAGACCGCAGAGAACTGAGATTTTCACACTTTGCTAGTTATGGTTGCCAATGGTTGCCTGAATGTTGAGTGGCTATCTCTGCTAACATCCTAGAAGAGGAGCCCAGAGCAATATGGAAAATAGCCTCAAGCAACCAGTCCCCTCCCTTTCCCTGCAGAGAGAGCTTCTGACAGTATCCACTGCGTTAGTTCACCAGAGGCCTTCTCCCATGTGCAAACAACTGCATTTATTGCACAGTATGCCACAGGGACATTACCCCCCAAGCTCTGGTGTGCAAGTATTAACTAGAAGCCTTGTCAGCAGCACTATGCAAAGTGTGAGCAAAGGCTGCTCAAGCCCTCACTTAGGCTTTGTCACCTTAGCCTCTTCCAGTCACATACCCTGAGCCCTGCTTGGCTGCTGATGGCAAAGAGTAAGAGAAATAACCTGCCAACCTAGGGGCCTAGACTGATAGTTACTCAGCTCCAGAAAGGAGCAATGCACTGAAGGCCTCAACACATTGTCAAGTGAGAGAAGCGAGCACAGCACTGCCCTACATCTGGCTCTAGCCAGTATGAAGATGTGTGAAGCCCTGCAGAACCTCAGAGGACCAGAGACTACAGATTCTGCATGACATTAACACTGAGCAAACAGAGGCCCCAGCAGCTGGCAGAGCTGGGATTACATCCAGTTTGAAAATGCCAACAAGGAGCTTCCCCACAAGCCACCCCATTTCCTAGAAAAAGGAGAGAGGTTGGGTGTTGTCCTGAACTAATAGCAGGAGCACAACAGGGATTGAAGGGCGTTTACTCACTGTCTGTTCATTTTCCAAATTGGCCTGTTGTCTTCGGAGATCAGCCTTAATGAATGCTGAAACAGAGGGAGGAAGAGAGATATGAAGGCAGTCAAGTCACCATGCAGTGCCCAAGTCAATTTACCCAAGACTCAAGGGAGCAGCAGAAGCCCCAGAAGAGACAGAAACACATTACAATGAGCAAGAGAAACCACTCTCCAGGACAAGGCTGAGAACACTTCTGAAACAGGCAGGATAGACATTCTTTATTGGGTGCAACTTTGAGACCCCAGCCAAAGCCAGGGCAAAAAACCTCGGCTCTTCTTTGTAATGCAGACCAGATGCTTAAAGAGGAGCAGCATTGCTGTGGGACTGCTGTGAGTGTTCTGCCCTTTTCTGCAGGCACTGCACACAAAAACCTTCAATTAATATGCCAAGCCCAAGGCAAAGTCAGAGCAGAAGAACACTGAAAAGTTTAACTACCTGTCATAACGGTCCCCAGGAACAGGACAGAACAAAGCAAGAGGTTTCCTGCCTTTGTCCCAAAGTGATCCATGATTTGCCCTTGACCAATGGTGAAGGCAATACCAAAAATCTACAAACAAGCAAAGGTAATGTCAAGCTGTACTGTTAATATAAAGCAGCCCAAACTCTTTCCAATCTTTATCGAAGTATCAGAGCATACAGACCAGTCAAACGGTTGGCCTAAAAGGCTAAAGTTTGGTTATAAACACATCCAGAGGCACTTCCTTGCAGCTAATGGAATGACAGATGACCCTGAGCTGGAATATCATCTCTTACTGGAGATGAGCCAGGACTATTAGGAGCTATGTTGGAGAAGGCAAGGATGACTGGTACCCTGAAGTATTTTCTTAAGCAGAAACAGAATGAGTGCCACTACAGAAATGCCATGAGGAACATCACACAAAAAGCCAGGTCCCGGGATGCTTAGATCTGCAGTACATTATATCAATAATGGACAAGAAAAAGGACTCAAGGCTTGGAACTACAATTTAATCTCTTTGCCTAAAAAGAGGCAGGCAAAGGGAAAACAGCACACCTACCTGTGCTGAGACATTAAGGAGCCCTGATGATGTTCCTTCTGATTCTGGGTATGTCAATTCTGCAGCAAACTCAAAGCCCAGGGGAAGGTATCCTGTCATGAAAAACCTGTAATGAAGTACACAGAAAGGAAGACTCATCAACTGCCAGAAGGAAGACTGAAGAGGTATAGTATAGACCATAACTCTGAGGGGCATCACCTCCAGCACAGTCAAACAGTCATGCCAGCCCACGTTCTTTTCACTCTTGTTCACTGGTCATCTATGGGGCTGTGGGTACCACTTGCTTTCCAAAAGCTTCCATTTTGATTGCCTGGAACAATTAAGGTGGCTGTAGCTGAACAGGGTCACAATAATGTCCCTGACTCTAATGAAACACATACAAGTGCGAGATGGGAAGGGCAGATAATTTTGTCCTTAAACCATGCAGGCGCCATCCAGATGCTATGGCTCTCCCCAGTCCCTCCCACAGCAGGAGTTCTGCCTCCCTGCTCATCCCCTAGCAGTTCACATGCCAAGGAAAGCAGCCTGCACATGAACTTACCCCAGCAACCCAGCAGTCACAAAGACCACCCAGAGGTGGCCCAGGCTCAGAGTGAAGGTATAGACTGTCATTCCCACCAGAGACATGATATAGACAACTAGCGTTGTTTGCCTGCAAGAAAAAGCAATCAGGGTTTTATTTAATCCAGGCCTCCTTTTTGCCAACAGATCTTAGTACAGCTTGTAGCACATGGGTAAAAAAAAAAAAAAACAAAAACGAAAAAAAAAAAAAACCACACTTAAAAGTTGCACAGTCTTTTGACACTCATAGCCAGACAGAGGAACTGGACTGTCAGATATTACGGAAGGAGCTGCACACAGAGCAGCACAGCAGAAGAAAGATCCTACCACAGGTTGAGAAGTGCCTGGTCATATACAGTACACACCGCTTGAGGGGGAGAACAAGAGCCAATTAAAGAGATTGTTATTCTTCCTTGGGCATCCTCTGTACTATAGTGAGTGGGAGATGCTTGGAGGAGCCAAGGAGATCAAGCACTCTCAAGCAGGAACATAAAGGAAAGAGGTGTCACCACTGCTAGAGTCTTATGGGCATATCTTTTTCAGTGCTGTCCGAAACAGCTTTCATCACTGTTCTTTCCTGCTGTTTAAACTACCAGCTATATTTGTAGAGGTGACATGCAAGCCAGGCTGCCCTCACAGCTTCACCCTCGAGCCATGTGAGCATTTAGCAGGGACAGTGTTAGTTCCATAGCCAGCAGCAGCTGAGCCACAAACTCTTGTCTCTGTGCAGAGGAGACAAAGACACCCTGTGCTCAGGAAGTATGCCAGTCAGATCCTGGGAACAGCCAAACCTGCAGCCAGGCCACGCAAGGATCATCAGTGGACTCAGTTCTGCAAGACACGGGCAGCAAGCCCAGGCCAGATCTTACAATAACATTTAGCAATTGTCATCCTTGACTACATACCAAGAAAACCCTTCCCACATTAAAAAAAACAAGGCTCTTTCTAGTACAAAAGGCAGAAGTAGGTCTTCACAATACATAGTTTTGAGGAGGGAAAGGAGGAAAAGGTAAATACTTTACCTGACTGAAATTCCACCAGGATTTTGAAAGCAGAACAGTTACCAGAGTTGATAAAACCTTTTGATCATTGTCTTTTAGGAAGAAGTTACATGTATTACTACTAGCTACTTGTGTACTTTCTCTCAAATTTAAGTCTTAATCCATTAAAGAATGTGTTTGATATCCGTTCCTAAAATTTTACTGAAGAAATTAAACCTCAAACTATTTTCACTTTTCCTTTTTAATGCAAATGATCAGTCAAAAATCCAACCCAAGTAGGCAGTAAGTATTACAATGTGTAAGAAAATGTTCCAGTACACTGAATTACTACAGATAAATCTAGACTGTTCCAGCTAAGGTTCTGTCCTCCCTCACTGCTGCAATGACTGCAGTCAGTGGGGTTCATGGCCATATGTCAATTCTTATCCAAATATAGGCCTGAGAAGCTAATTTCAGGCTTCACCTATTGAGCTATACTTAGAAGGTTCACCAGGCTCATTTAAAATATTGAAAGGCTAAACAACATGCTGTGGCGAGTAATTTTGTTGTGTATCAAAGGAGAAGTTTAATCCCTTAACCTCCAATGTTGTATCATTTCTAGAGTATGTTTTTTCCAAAGCTTTCACTGAGGGAAAAATTGGTATGTGAAGGCAGCATAAAGGGGCTGCTTCCTTCTGTTATAATCCATTGCAGAGAGCTGCTACATGGTTGGCACAGAGCCTGGAGGCTGCAGAAGGAGAAGAGCTGAAAGACTGACTGAACAGACAGAGAGCAGTCCCAGAGAGTGAAAGAGATGCAAGTAAAGACCTTTTTCTGCTCATTACATGTTCCTCAGGTATGTCCCATAGTTCTTATGCCTCCCATGCCTTGACAAGCAGCCATGGAGGAAAGAGATAATTAAGAAAGGAGTTCAAAGCTAGAATTACAGTTCTGTACTTAGGCTGCATGAACCAAGTTTGAACTGGGTGCTCCGTCCATAAACAGCAGTCTCCAAACTACATAGCAGTCAGTGCTAAAATACTGTGCAGGCCTCCAAGAGGTGGCTGCAGCTCTTGGAAGTTTAGTCACTGCCAGCAGGGACACTCAGCACATGGAGAGTTTTATCATTTTTTTCTCACCACAGCCAGTTTTGGGCTCAGTGCTCAGAAGTCGCAGGATAGTTACACAAAATCTCACTCAGTTTTCTGGGCTTATGGTTCAAGTACTCCAAATGATTTGTACTTTATTCAGTGTCATGACAGTTGCCAGGTGTTGCACTTCACCCCTCATCTCCTGACAAAGGTGAAGAATGAGATAGTGACCAGATGTGGTGAAGACCTTGTTTCACACTGATGCTATGTCATTAGTCAACCTGCAAGAGAGGAATTCCCAGAACACGCTGTGCCCCACTGAGAACTAGAGAAGGCAGACTCATAGCTGCAGGCAAACTCTTGAAGGTGTTCTTCACTGAAACTGCAGAACTATGTAGAGGACAAAATGGAGAAAACCGATCCTGCCATGGGTACCTCATCTAGCAAGTTTTCCTCACTGATGTCCCTGAATCATTAGGCTGCAGAAGGACAAAATTAATCAACAGACCTTTGTGAAAGAACAAGACCACAGGCTTGAGTGTTGTGGGAATCACAGACCAGAAGTGCCCTGAAGCCACGAACTGCTGCCTGCTCACCACAGCAGATCCTCACAGGATCTGAACAGACAGCAGTGAATGCAAATCTTGCTGCAGGAAACAGCCTTAAGTACACAAGCACACTTCTAAACTGGACTTCAGCAAAACCCTGCTCCCCCAAGCATACCACTGATGACAAGGAAAGGAGATTCAGCGTTCAGCAGAAGAAAGACACAAGAAGAAAGACACAAAATTTTGAAGAAGGTTTAACTGAAATACTGGTAGACACTGGTAGGCACAGGGAAACAAAAACCCCTGGGGAAAGACACAAAGGCAGGGTATTCTCAGGAAGTGGCCTTTGACACCCTGTTCACCAGAGGACAAGAATGCTCTGTGTCCCTAGGGGCACCCAGGCATGGAAAAATGCCCAGTTTTAGCTTAATAAGCCTCTTATCACAGCCATAAATCTCATGGGAGCAAGAAAAGCACAAAGGAGGAGAAGCAGATTTACAGAGCACATCAGGACTGCATTCTGGTGTTTTTAGCAACCTACTCCCATGACGGCTCTACAGGGACTGACAATTTTCATTGTCTGGAACAGAGAACAGAGACAATCTACTTAACAGGCTGATTAGTGCAGTGAGTACAGGCTGGAAGTTAGGCATTCTGCCACATTACCTTAGAAAAACTGAGTTAACCCAATCTTGTGCTCTGGGGTGTGGGAAGGAAGCCCACTGCACCCATGTGGAAGCATTGCTACAGAGGCACCACTGCCAAGTCTCTGTGGCAGAGGCAGAGGGAGATCTGTGAAGGACCTGACACACTGGTCACTTAGATTAACCTAACCAGCCCTGACATTCATCTGCCCTCCCAGTCATATTCCCAAACCTTCTGAAGAGGCAGATCAAAGAGCTCACAAAAGAGACTGTGAGAAAAAAAGATACCTTAGGGAAAAAAGCTAGACTGGGCCGCACCAGCAGGGAACAGGGCTGAAATGAAGAACATATCTCCTGCTGTTCAGTCAGCTCCAGAAGAAGCCTCAGAGTAAGAAATGGGTATGGCCTACCCAGCCTTTTCGCACAAGGTCAGTTGGATGAGGAAAGCAAAAGTGACAGGACAAGACTCAGAGGGGATTGCAGCTGTAAAAACAGTAGAGTCAAGCAACATCTGAGGCAACAAATCAACAAGCTGCGAGCAGGAGGTGGGATGAGAGAAACAGCCACATACAATAGTTTTAGCTGCTCACAGGGATGTTGTGTGCAGCTCTGCTGTACGGATAGGGATGGCCTCCACAGGCCTTGCCATGAGGACAGCACACAAGCCTGAGCAAAGGCCTTGTTCCTATGCTCCTAGAAGATTTCATTACTGAAGACACAGAGATGTCAGATGCTGGAGGAAGGGATGAATTGGAGAAGACTGCTTTGGTTTTCACCACGCCCTTATCCTTTAGCATTCAGTTTTATGCCACTTTCTTCCTGTATGAAGGTCAGAAGAAAGGACAGTCTTGGTAAATTATTTATATAAGACATATGGCAGGACAAGGTGAAGACATATTCACTACACAAGGACTAACCTTGTGTAAAAAGGGCTACAATAAGAAGGCCCATATTGCAGGTAAGGCTAGGCCGAGAGAGCATCTTTCAGTGGAAAAGACCCAAGTGCCCCATCCTCCACTATCTTTTCTCCCTCCCCCAAATTTTTGTACTTTGCATCTGTACAGGCCTAAAACACCACTTGGGGTCTTCTGTCTAGTCAATGGAGAGAGAGATTAATGTTTCTGAGATCTTGCCTTATAGAGATGCAGCAATGAATGTGGAGGATGCTGACTGCAACCAGCTTGACCTGAGGCCATGTGAACACTGCACTTAAAAGAAAAGCATAGCCAAAGAGAAGTGATGATTTATTTGGCCCCCAAACACCTCATTGTGAGCCAGACTACCATAGAATTACCAATATACCTAGCAATCTCCAGGTGTCACAACCTCATCTGTCCTCTGAACCAGGAACTTGCTTGCCAAAACTTCTTCTGATTCTATGATTTAAAGAGATGGGCTGTTCTCAACAAGTCATACCACCAAAAAAAACAGCCCCAGTTCTTGCACTGCTCACTTGTCGCTACATAACTCACGTATTTATTGGAATGGACCTAATTTGCACTTGCTATTCCAAAAACAAGAATAATGAAGGGGCTGCTGCAGGGACTTGCCTGCCAAATAAAAGCAAGAGTGCAAGGCCATTTGGTGCCCAAGCATGACAGATGGGGAAAGCCTGACTTAGCACAGCCTCACCCTTTCAAGGAACTGCTGATGGTACAGTAAAGATCAAACATGCATGTAGAGCTCTGCAATTCCTTCTGTTATTAACCTTCCTCTGCTTCCCTCAATCACAGCTGGATCCCATTCATTTGCTTCCCCAAGCTGACTAAAAAAAGGACTTGATATCTTTCCTTCCTGATTTTCATGTGCTTACCATTTTATTCTTGACACCATCTCAGCAACAGAGAGAAGGGGGAGGGTACCCACCTAGAACATCTGGCATCTTGGCAGTTTTTTTTTAAATAGACTTTTAAATGGGGCTATATAAAGACTGTTTAGCACTCAGAAAAAAAATGTGCTAGTTTCAGAGAAATCCATTTTGTAGGCTGTAATGGAGAACAAATTCTTAGCAGGGCTTTTCCTCACCTAAGGCTAAAACTATCTCCTGGGATCTGTAGTCCTATTTTTCTTCACTGTTAGCCAGCGCTGCCTACCTATGTGATCCCTGTGAGGAAAGAGGGGGGACATGGAACAAATACAGGATTTGTGGTTTTTTCTCTCCTATTCTACCGAATTTCAAGTCCCAGCTCTGCATGTTGAGTCACAAAGCTTTTGAAGCCTTCATGCTGCAACCTAATCTCACTTATGGAGAGCCAGGAAGATAATCCAGTCTAGCAGTACCAGCTACCTCACCACTTGCCCTGGGCTGGAAGGAGACACAAATCGCATTGCATTGTTAGCAGTGTAGATCTAACAGTTGCATTTCTATTTCCCAGGACTCCCATATGAGAACTACTCAGTGCCACACAACCATACAGACACAGCAGCAAATGACCTGCCAGTCCCAGGAGTTCTCACCTACCATTCTTTCTTATTAAAGAAGCCAATTTTCTATTTCTGATCCCTGTACTTTACAGGGAGCTAGGGCTAGAGGCCACTTCAGAAGTTACAAGCTCACAGCTAGCCAGATTAATCTAAGCGGTCTACAATGAGAACGTGCATTTCTGGCCCAAGATATGAGGTAGGAAAATGGCAGTAGGACTCCCCCAGATGAAAAGCTGCTGCAAGGAATAAAACTCTGAAATTGCTTTCAAGTCATTGCCAGCCCATCACCAGTAAAGCCCCCTCTCACCCAACCTGCTCAGACAACAGGTTATAGCATAGTTCTCAAAGCCAGCAGAGAAACCAAAAAGCTGGTTGAACCCCAGTATAAGACACAGGAGTCTCTCTGTATCCCCTGGGATATCCTACAGAGGTGCTTCAGTGAGATCCAAATCCCTGAGGACCAGGAACTGTAGGACAAGCAAAGACTCTTAACTGTGCCTTTGCAGATAGCAAGGTATGCTGGCCAGATCTGCCTTCCCAACTCACCGAGCAACAAACACAGACTCATCCACCCGTAACCCCAACAATCCTTATGCCTGCCCTAAATACAGCAACACGCCATCAACACAATGCTTCTGGGCACTGAATTCAATGTGCCTTTCATTAAGCCACACAAAAATTCACAGAGACTGGTTTGTAAGGGCTGAGAAATGGTCTGGTACAGTCTTGATTCTGCTTGTGCCAAGAACTCTCTCATCCCTGACGAAGCAGTTACTGGGCCATCTCCTCTGTAAGCCTCCCTAGGGACCACCGACACCCAGTATGGGTGCCCAGTATGGGCCCAGTGCCAGCGATGCACAGCTCCAAACTTCACTTTAGACTAATTGGGTTTTGAAGAACCCTATTTTTTTTCCCACAAATCCTCCCTATGATTCAGTCTCTAGACTGCCAACTTGCAACTGCACAGGGCTGATCCTTGCACAGTATAGAGAAAGAGCACAGTCACCAGGGCACAGAGGCAAATAAGGGACTTACTTGTAGGTTTTGGTTTTGTCCAACCAGATGCCGGAGATCAGAGCCCCAACCATCCCCGACAGTACAATGGTGAGTCCAATCCTGCCAGCATTCACCTCCTCCCCCTGTGGTGAGACACATACACACTCACACAAATGCAGGAGCCAACTTGTATCCAACAAAAAGCAAAGTGCAGAAAACCCAGAGAGGAAGAGACACCAAAGTTAGTCTTCATACATGTTTACTGCTGGTAACACACTAACCAGAACTAGTGTTTGCAGGAACACTTTTGGGCCCACATGAGCCAGTGCTTTCTGGTCCATGAAAAAAAGTGGTCTGGCAATTGTGTCTGAGCCAGCCCTGAAAAAAAGGTATGCAATGGCCAGTGTGAGCAGATACTCTCAGAGGAGTTAGCATAAACACTATCAAGCTTGCTGTTAGTATTTGGGCCAGATTGACCAGGAAATATTTGGACTCACTATAAGGCAGCACAGAAAGGAGCTCTGTGGCATGCAGCACCAGCAGTAAGCTGTACAGGTACTGAGGCACCCCACCCTTTTGCCACAAGAGCATGAGCATGGACAGCCTCCTGGGACAGATGTCCCAGTAGAAATCACAGTCAGAAACAAGGAGAGGAAATTGCTAGATTTTCTCAGAAGTAAATGCTTTTATTTAAGGTGTAAAGGAGCCATCTTTTCTAGAGCTCACCAGCTTTTACATGGGGTGGCGTAAAGGAAAAAAAGGAACAGCCAATTTGTGCTAGAGCCAGCCAGGTCTGCTGTGACATTGCCTTTCTCACAGATTTTCCTTTGGCAGCCAGTGCTGGACAACAGCAAGCATCAGAGAGGGCCATGAGGGTTGGATGCACTTACTGGGTAGTGATGGATCACCATGCGGTTCAGCAGAGTGGACAAGGCGTAGAAACAACCTACATTCAGACCTGAGAAGGGGATAAAAATGCAGCACATTCAGAGCCTGCTACTCTCCTGCTGGGTTGTGAAAGAGTAGAAATGCTGAGAGAGAAGTCTTTGGGACCATCAGTCCAGAACAAGGCTGCAGAGTCTGAGGAGAGTGAGCCAGACTGGCTAGACATAGGTTACTGAAAGAAATGCAAACCAACATCCAGGCCTCAGCATACAGGAGGAAGAACCCTGCAGTTTCAGGATGGTTCTTACCCAAGCAGCTAGAGGAAGGGCTGTGCACATTTCTGGTACTGAAAGGTCCTGCAACACCTTCACAGGGTCCCAACCCTCTCCCACAGCCAGATCCATCTTTAGCACTGCAATTTTCTCCTCTGACCCCAGAAAAGCCAGAATATTAGAAAAGCATATGCCTTAGCGTCAGACCTTGGACAAGGACCTGAGATTCAATCAACAATAGTGTCATTGACCTCTGTCTTCTCCTCCCAGAGAAGGGCCTGTCAGCATTCTCCTTGCTGACAGTAAATAACATTCTCTCCAAGACAAGAAATGCCAGAAGACAAGTAGGAGCAGAGTTGATTGGTGAAGCACAGATAGTACCACCCTCAGGCACCTGGGGTGTGTGTCTCCATGGGAAAAGTTTTGCATTTTAAAAGATATCACTGAGGCCTGAAAAAAAAACATGAAAGTAATTTCTGAATATTTCTGAAAGAGAACTTATATCAACTGTTACAAGGTTTCTCAGTATCACCCAAGGTGAGAATGAAACTGCTGGGGTGATACTGGTCAAGGGCTATTCAAACACTCTGCTCCATCTTACATGCAATTCTCATTGGTTAAATGCCTTCTCAAAAGGGCAGAAAACCCAACAGCTTTGTTCAGCAGGCAAAAACATACACGTGCACTGGACCAGCAGTACTACAACGGCTACACTCTCACCTTGGGTGATACTGAGAAACCTTCCCCAGGTGGATGAGGTCTGTAACAGTCAACATAACTTTCTTCTCAGAAAGTCGTTTACATTTGCAGTTGGTTTCTCTTCAAGGCTTCAGTGATTCTGATGGGTGAAAGGAAGGTGACAGATTTCACCACTGCAGCTCACCAGTCCAAAAGGAGCCATGGGTTTAAAAAGTCTGGCACAGATGCCTGAAATCCTGACAAAACAGATACATGTCAAGTTCTCCCTTCCTACTTTTCCTCTCTAAGCCTCAGCTAAAAGCAGAAACTAACACCTGCTGCCTGCTTACCACAAGATACAGAAGTGCAGTCTAGCAGACAGAGCTTTGACAGAGGGAACAAAGCCCTGAGCTCACCTAACCCTGAAGTCACCTAACTCCCCTTAAGTACTCAGCAATCCTGAACCTAGCCCAGTCTTCCACTGAACACTGGATACCTGTTGTAGTACACAGCACTATGAGGAGCACAAGATTGGCAGCTGGAGAGTGCATCACTTCCTTCACACACCATCTCTGATAACATGGCAATTTACTGAGGATGGTGAGGCACTGGAACAGGTTGCCCAAAGGTGTAGGTGGAAGTGTGTGTTTAAGGCTAGGCTGGACTGGGGTCTGAGTGACCAGGTCTAGGGGAAGGTGTCCCTGTACATGGCATGAGGGTTAGAAGTAGATGATCTTTAAGAGCCCTTCTAACACAAACCAGTCTATGATCAAGCAAAGCTCACTCCACAGCTGTATGGCCCAGGCAATAGATGAAGACTCTTATGCAAGTGATCCCAAATATTGCCTGTAACAATGCTTCCTGCTTCAAAATCATGTGTCAGAACATTACAAAGGAGATTAGTAAGTTGAGTGACATGCTCATTAGGCAGAAGAATCTACCCAGTCCTTACCAGCAGTTATTCAGGAAGGCTGGAAATTCCAGCAGGGCCAGCAGCCAAAGATGTGGGAGAACAACTGGAGACCTCACAGCAAGGAGGTGCCCTCCAGCTTAGAAAGATATCTCTTTGCAACACTTGGCTATGGCAGAACAGCTAATACACCCTAAATCAGCTTCATCCTATCTCCACCTCTGGAGCATCCCGCTCACTAGGTGACACCAAAAGCTGCAGTGCAAGGACACGGGAGTACAGCAGATCAGCACAGTCCTTCTGCTTCTTCACTTCAAAGCTGGGTATAAACATTATCCACTCATTTCTGCACTTCTATTTCTCATACAGCCAAGAGGACAGCAGCCTTGTGAAGACAGCCATCTGCTGCTCTGGTACCTAATGCTGTAAACCAGCTTTACAGCAGCTCTGTGATCCGTGTGATTTCCAAGACAGAGAAGGGCCCTTGCTCCCAAGCTGGGCAGAAAGTAAGAGTTGGCAGCAACACTTGGCACCAGAGTCAGGCAAAACATTCTAAGAATCAAGACAATGTGTCAAATTTGCATATGTGAGGGCTGAGAAAAGTTGTAGGCACTTTATGAAGTTGCTCAGTGAAGCTTCTCTGAGAATTACAGCTGTTTGAATATCCATAAAACAAGTAATGGTAGTTTCCAATGGGAAAGTGGCCACTTGCCCACCCACACGAGGGAAACCAGAACTAGTAGCTGGGAGCAGGACACCTGAAGGTCCAGCATCACCTGATTCTTTAGCTAGTTACCATGGTTTGCTTGTAACGTAGAATAACGTTTTTTGATACCTCAGTGTCTCCTCTATCTTTATAGAGGCCAGAACAGGGAAGTTTATTGCCTACAGCTCCAAAAGGAGCCCTTATTAAGCCTCAGACTAAAACCCAGGTCTTCCACAGGTAGGCAGCCTATTGCCTACATGCCAGACTCTTGGTCTCTCTCTTGTTCACTCTTGTAATCCTCCCCAACAATGGGTCCTTATGCAGTTCTCACTGCCCTGCCTCCTCCTCGTTGCCCCATCACCACTCCAAATGCTGATTCTTTAAGACCATCTCATGACTCCCATTCTTTTAGCCTTTCCCAGAATTTCCCACCCTTTTCCTGCCTACTGCCTCCCACTAGAAACATGCTCTCCAACGCAAAGCTCAACCCCATAGACTTGGAATTCCTTAATGTCCATTCCATGTTATGCCTCAGTTTTATGGAAGCAATGTCAACAGTCTTGGGGAAAAGGTTCTCTGAGGGCTTTCCTGAAAAACAGTTCACTAGCACTGACGTAGCAGCAGTGACACCACTGTTTCCAGCACTGTGAGTCTTGCCACAAGAAAGGAATCACTGGTTGCTGGTAATACCAAGAGCTTAGAGGTCTGCAGACCCGTTCTGACCTGGCATTGTGGAAAGATCCTCATTCTTTCTATAGCCAGGAGAGATGAACAAGCAGCAGGTTTGCCCCTCTCTCCCCGACACAAGGTATGCTAACACAAAAGCCGACTGGCTGCAGATATCTTTGTGTTAGGTAGGCAGGATGACTCAGTTGCACTCATGTGGCTGCAGATGTCTTAAATCTTGGCCAACGTAACTTTTGACTTGAGTAGGAAAAACTGTCACCATTTTAAACCCAGACAAGCTAAAAAAAAAAGTTTCACAGTATAGTTCCCTCTCTGAGTAACAGTCACCATCTCAAGTCAAGCTGGAAATTGGCATGAGGCTGACAGAGAGGAACAGAATAAATGCACAGACCAGCAGCAAGAGAAAATTAATTATGAGCCACTGAACGGATTTTCCATACTGTGACTGCCAGAAAAGAATTACTCCAGGAAGGTAAGATTCTCAACATATTCTTTGTACTGAGAGCCCTCCTCTCTCCTCTAGGACTTGTTTATGCCTATTAGAGCAAATGCTTTCCCCTTCATTTTTCCTGAAAGGTAGGTGTGAACCGAGCAGATGACACAATCCAACTTCAGACAGTTTGCCTGGCAGGTTTTTCTGTCTTCACTTTCTGAGAGGGCATTATATACTACGGAAAAAAAAAAAAAGCCAAACCCAGCAGCTGCAATGCAAACCAGAAGAGTTTAAGAATAATCTGAGAGATGCATTTCTAGAAGTCTACTGCACTGAGAAGGAAGGCAGCAGAAATTCCAACAACTCCAAAGACCATTAGCATCCTCAGCAAGTACAAAGCCACCATCTGACTCTCTCTAACCTATCTAGTCATCCACAAGGTCTTTCAGATACAATTGCTGGCAGAATGTGCAGAACTTTCAGCAATATTTAACTGTCTCCCATAGCAAGCTGGTAGGAAGAGTGAGGACAAAATTACCCACAGACTAGCTGGCTACAGCATACCCTATTATGCAGCCAGGCACAGACCACAACGGCCTTTCTGCTAGTAAGGAAAACACTTTTCCATATGCCAATTCAACATCAGGGAATAGATTCAACACATCATACTGTCCTCAAACAAACAGATCGAGACTGCTGAAGAGAAGCAAGCAGCAAATTCAGCATGCAAGGATAGATGGCATAAGATGTTCTCTAGTCCTTTCTTCCAATTGCTTCACAGGGACTGCCTAGAAAGCTGACAAAGGTCTTCACATCTTCATACTCCACATGACCTCTACAGAGACGCCTAGCAGTCATAATCCTTGCCTTCGGAAATTACTTTCACTCAGTTCTGTGACTTGCACTCAGACACTTCCATGTATTTCCTATGTAAGCATTCAGATCGGTTTGCTGCAATTATTTAAATGACTGGAAAAAAAGAACAGATAAGGAAATCCCCTGAACATCAAACAGTCAAAGACTGGATGAACAGTTGTAGGGGTATATCATCCTCTGTGTGCTTGCCTTCCTTTCATTCTTCCTCACTGCATTCACTGGTAACCACTGCTGAAGAGTACTGGGCTATAAGGATTCCTGGTCTGTGGCAGCACAGGGGAGCTATCTTTATGTTCCCCTAAAACAACTCAAGCTAGTTACTGCTCCAGCAGAGCACAGAGAGGGAGGGAGAAACCATGATAACTGCACAAGAAGAAAGGCCAGACTTTACCATAAGTGACCATAAGCAGCAAAAAGTTGATATTGCGGAGCAGGCGGAGGATTGATTGCATGTACGAATACTCTGCAGTCGGTCTTGACTGGATCGAGGCCTGAGCTCGGCTTGGAGGGTTCGGGGGCTTCTCCTTGAAGACTGAAACCAGACACAAAGTATATCTGTTTGTAATGGGGCAACTGAGGGGCCTGAGCACACACTGCATCATTTGAGGGATGGCAGAGGGGCTGGTATAACCAACTGTACAAAACACACCATTTTCCTTAAGCTTTGATCTCCATGCATGAACTTATCCAGGAAAAGGAAAGAACAGCTCTCTTCCAACAGTAACTCCTGCCACCTTCCCAAGAGAAACATCTTACCTTCAATTAGCTTTTTGTGTAGGCAGTGTCCAGCAGCACCAAGAGCTCTCAGGACTATTAATAATGCCTTTGTCTCTAGGAGGATGACCAGCCACGCTCAAAATTGCTATGTGGATTTACAAGTGACAAAGCAGAACGGGGCAAGTCAGTTGCCAAAGGTGGCCTAGTGCTCTGCAGTGGCCAGTGCCCAGGGAACAATAATCTTTGCTAGGTTTTATTTATGGCCAAGCCATCTGCTGCCCCTTACTAATTACTTGCATTAAAGTAGCATCCAGAAATCCCAGTCATAGGCGATACTGCTATGCAGGTGCTAGACAGGCATTTTTGTACTTGTCTATTCCCTGACCCACATTATTTGAAGTTTACATCTGATTCAGCCACCAGCAATATGAACAAACTGGCAAGAGGAGCCTATAAAAAATTGCATCGAATTCAGCAACTAAACTCAGCTCCCCAGCAAGCATGCCAGCCTTTCATGCTAAAGATCTGGCTTCAGCGTCATGTATTAAGCAGGGGAAATGCATGTCTTGTGTCCTGCTACTGCCCTTCATGCTTTATTCTCTCCACTCATAACTGAGAACACCTTGTTCCTGTGATGCCATATAATCTGCCTCTTTTTACTCTTAAGGGGTAGTCAGGTCCCAGAGATAACCCAAGGCCCAGCATACCCTGTTTGCAAGGAAGATGACTACGAAACTTGCAATATTTCTGTTGGTTTTTAAAGGATTTATTCATGCCTGGAATTTATTATGCAGGCAATTGACAAAACCAACAATTTGGCAAGCTCACTGACAACCTCCCTTCTACATGTGCTGTTCATCAAGGGTTTGAAGCAGCAAGATATTGCAAGGTATTGCATGATCCTGTCAGCTGCATGGTAGGACACATTCCCAGATGGCCTGCCCAGCCCTTTCCTGGTACACAGGCCCCTGTCACATATCAGCTGATCTCAATCCCATCTGGTTTCATGTGCACACTCCCACCTCCTTACCTATGATGACCAGGATGAACAGGGCTGACGCCACACCTGCAGTCATGAAGAACATGATGCTGATGTGGTAGGCTAGCTTCTCCACATCCTCCACATTAGGGATCAGAACTGGAGGGACCAGAAAGCCTGCAGCGATGCCAAGCTAAGAAGAGAGAGGAGATAAACAGAGGCATGACATGAAACCACAACCTACAGCTCAGTACAGGCTCAACTGAGCCTACCCAAATTTCACAACCAAGATGAAAATCTTCTTTACCACACAAAAATCAAAAGTCAGATACTCATTGCAATTAGGCCATAAGAGAAGTTTCCCCACTGCATTTACAAGTGTCAGGATATTCAAGGCAAGGTTTTACAACAGAATTGAGCAGAATGAATACCTGGCTCCACCAAAGTGGAGGTCTTGCCTGCCCTGACCTCCCCCACAAATATGTTCCTGTTCACACACACCTCCCATTCCTTACCTTTCCCCTGCTCTAGAGCTGGCCTGATCATCTGGTAATCCAGTTTTGCTCATTAAAAATGGCAGAAAACAAGACCATAAAACCCAACCACAATATTTGCCAGTTGAGTTGAACCAATTTATTTTCCAACCACGTAAGTGCAAGGGCGGAGACACCTGACCACTCCACGTAACTGAGATATTAATTTGATACAGTCTCAAATGAGCAGCCTCGCAAGACAAGGCACACCCTATGACCATCAGGAGAATCAAGAAGAGCATCAAGGTTGAAAGCAAAGTGTTGACAGCACATATATCCTAAATGTTGAGGTTGGTTTAGTAATGGAGCTTGGCAACTGTCCCTGGATAAACTGCTCTGAAGTGTACAGAAAGCAAGGACTAAGGAAGACAAGTTCTGTGCAGCCCATAAACCTCTTGGAAGCATGTCAGCACAGAGCAGAAGACCCAAGAGCCCTGTAGCCCAGGCATGACCTTGGACAACTTCCCGTGGCTGTCTTCCAGCAAAACCTCGTTGTGCTTTCTGCATGCTTTCTCTGACATTTCTCAGTGTTTCTGGGATGCTGATAGCCTCATTCTGAAAGACTGACTTACTGGCCAAGACAAAGATCTCAGAACTAATGTTTCAGTTGCCATATCTGGTAGTTAGGCTAAAAATCAGCTTGTGCCCTCCAGCCCCAGAAAACTCTCCACAAAATCCGTACTCCTCCACCCAGCTGGTGTATTTTTGAGACAAGAAGAATGCTTAGGCTTCAAACAGAGCTATCTGCTACCCTCAGGTGCCCTATTTAGCTTACAAACAGGTGACTTTCAATCATGTCTGGCAAACTTCTCCTGTGTCAAAGAGTGCCCTCCACTGGGACCTGGTATATCCTGGGTCAGGATCAGCAACAGATATATACACTAAATTAATTCTTGGTGCTCAGACACTGCAGGGAGCTAATGAGAAGTGCCACCAAGAGATTACAGATGTGCCCCACCAGTTTAAGGCACTGTTAAGAGTAAGAACATTTGTGGTTTGGTTACTGAAAACAAACCCTAGCTGTGCCATCCCAGATAGCAAGTCAAAGACTGAAAGAGTTTAGGAGGAAACTTAAAAGACCATTAGAGAGGATAAACCTTCCTACCACCCACATGGCACAGACAGACTCTGGCACAGGACTAAACTTGCCAGAGCTCAGTTTTGTTCAGATATGGCCTATGCCCAGCCTCTCATCACAGCGAGTCAGGCTGACTCTCCTCCTCTGCACTGCCCACTCACTACAGTGAGCACAACTATCATGGTTTAGAGGCTTCAAGCTCTAATCTCCATCATATTGCATGCCTCCCCTTCCCTACACAAGCATGCAGCTGCACAGAAAAGGTAATGGCATCAAACACAGAAGCTCGCAGAGATTGCTGGTAGAGAGCAGAAGCCTGCTTGTCTCTGCAGCACATTTATTTTGCCCTCCTTGTGGCCAAGTGCAGTCTTGTGCCTCTGGTGTGCCTGGCCAGCCCGGGCTTCAGTCCTATCTCCAGAGCATTTCTAAAGATTCAACCTTTGAGGAAGAGAGACTCTCAACATTGCTCCTTTCCATCTGAGGGAAAAGTCCTATTGAGTCTCATATCTTCCATGTGCCCTCCACCCTTTCCCAAGTAAGGTTTACAAACACCTTACTGGAAACTGACTCTTTGTCTTACCACTGTTTCATTCTTGGAAGAACTAAGCTGGATTCTTGTGCTAGGTACTTCTTAGCTTCCTTCTCTCTGCAATCACATGCTAGCCACATGAGCTGCTGAAGGGCAGCAAAATAACAGGAGATGGAGAGATCCACGCTTTATTCTGACCTCTGACATAAGTTTCTCCAGGACCACAGTTGAGATTCAATCTTTTCCGGTCTCCCTCCAGCTGCTCCTTCCTGAAAAAGGTCTATCTGATATACCCAGCAGAGAAGAGACTGAGAGTCTGTGTTGTAAATTGTTTCGAAATCTTTTACTGGGAGGTCCTATAGTCATCACTTACCCAATGGGACACAGACTCACCCAGCTTTCTTGAACTACTTGTTGCCTTTTCAGAAGAATTTTCCTGAACAACTTTTCTAACCATAAATGGGTGTTTTGTCCTTTCTCTTCTCCCCTCGCAAAAAGAAGCAACTTTTACCCATTAGGAGTTCGTTATACCTTTGATAAGAACCAGGTAGCAGAATGGAAAAAAAATCATAGCAATAGGAGCTACATTTTATATTTCAGAGCAACTCATGCTATTAATTCTGAAGATGAGGCCTCTTGACTTGACTGGAACTGAAGATTTCCTGAAGGACACTCACAGACCCTGGATTATTCATACCATTTTTAGCAAAGAAGACAAGCTCTCAACAACATGATAACTATTACATTGCATATACTTTACCTTTCACAAGGAGATTTTTAGCCTGATTCTCAGAAGGTCAGTGTGCAAATTACCAAAAGCCCGCAGAAACACTGTAACCAATTAACCAAAAAATTTAAAAGATGCCTTAGAAAGGGAAAAAACTTCTCTCCCTTCTCCACACCTTGCACATCAGGGAAAATAAAGCAATTGTAAAAATAAGGTTAGTTCTGCAAAAATCTGGGCTACCCTCCTTATAGACACCATCAGTCATAATGGATCATAACGGACCCTCTTATTTAATTTGCATCTCCAACCTTTACACAGGCAGATAGATGTCCAATACCTATATAGATAAGCTTGTTCTCAAAATTTGGTATATCACTCAGAATCCCCTCACCCAAAACACCCAGCACTGTCCTGATCTCTGAGGATCTCTCCAGGAGATCAGGCTGCTGGCCTTTATTTTATAAAGGCTTTGGGGTAATTTTTAAACACAATACCAAGAAAGTCAACAACTACAGCAAAGTGCACTGTTCAGATCACTTACTCTTTAAAGACTAGTAAAGGATAGAAGGAATGTATTTCCTACCCGAATTTTGCCAAGGAACAGTCACAACAACAACATCATATTCAACATTCAAGTGTGCATAAAGAACAAGCAACAAAACCAAGAGCAAATAGCTAAGAAGATAGTATAAAAGTACCCAAAGTCTTGAAACAGAAAATGACGTGTCTACAGATAGCTGCTAAGAGTCTCCTGAAGGAAGATAAGCAGTGGTGTATCAGCATAAAAACTGTAAATGAATGATCGATGGAGGAGTACAGGGCTGGACCTCCACCTCAAAGAAAACTACAAGTCAGCAACAGGAACACAGAAGCCCTGTAAAATTCCATAGGTAGGTAGAAATGTTGACAGAGGGGACCACCAAATCCAGAAGGTCAATTATAACGTTAAAAGACACAGAGATAGAGATGCTGCAAAAGCAAAAATACACAACAGTAAGAAATTTTGACAGTGCCCTTGAAAGCTAAATAAGCGTCATGACAGGGATGATGCAGAGACTGCATTTTTGGATTCCATAAATACCCTTTTCTGAGGAAAACTTGTAAGAGGCAGCACAATTTATGATTTTGACCCAGAACAGCACGGTGTGACTATGGCCAATATTACAGAATGGTTCTGCACTGGACTGAAATTCAGCTTCCTTGCAGCTGACAAAAAAAGGAAACACCCTCCAAAACACTACAGCAATATATAACTCACAAGAGGAAGCTGCCTAAAAGGAAAGAAGTGTGTTAAATGGAACTGAAGAAGAAAAGCCTAAGAAATTAAAGGCTTGCAAGTGGCATTAAGATTGTGCAAAGCCACTGAGTCAGAGGCTCACTGTAAGCCTAGAGAATATTAGCAAAATATTTTAGAATACAGTAAAGGAACCACAGTTAAGTAAAAAACAAAAACACAGAAACCCCCAAACAAACAAAAAAACAAATGAACAAACGAAACAAAAGAAAAAACAAACAAAAACCACCACCAATAACATAAACCACCCAGCTCTAAAACTGGACATTATTCCTTCTTCTCAAGCAAAGAAAAATGACAGCAAGCTGGACCAAGCTAAAATAAAACCATAATTAGGCCAAAAGAGGCACCAGGACAGCTTTACAAACTAAGTCCTAACTCTTCAAACACGACAAAATCAGAAAACTTCACAGAAGGGTCAAAAGATCATCAGTGTGGAAGGAGAACACTTAAGAAAGAGGTCTTCGACCATCATTCATGACATGATGTGCTATGAGTGGAAGACATTACTCAATTTATTTAAACTAATTTCTTCTATGTGGCATCAGGACCAGCTGGTATTCACCCAGGAGCTCAAAAGAACAAGTCAACAGTAGATCCTCACTACTTGCACAGAAACATACTAAATGGTCTGTTACCAAATATTCAAATTGGGAATGGAGGAAGAGAAAAGTGATGCTAATTTTTAGGAAGCTCAGCATAAGCAAGAGACCCGGGAAATCCTGAGACCAGCAGCCTGCTGGTTTGGCCAAGTGACAGAATATGTAGCAATCAAGAGATCTATGCTTTGATAAACACCAATACAACTGGCTTTTCAGACACCATGATTTCAACATGGTCTTAGCAAGTTCCCAAGCCAAGACTTTGGAGAATGAGGAGGACGTACTCCAGATTCCCTCTGGATTCACTTGGGGAACCCCTTTGAGGAGATGCTTTTTCCAGAGCTCTGGGCAACACAGCATCCTCTACAACTCTTGTCTGGGTTATCAAAGCTTTGTCCTAGGCCCTCCCTCCCTTTCCAACTACAGGTGC